TGGAACCGTCATATGAGATTCTAGTCATGACTCTAGTCCATGTGACAATCTCATGCGGGTCATTCCAGTATTCCGTTCTCCAACGAATACCTATGATCGTGATCGTATCCAATACCTATGATCATCTATGTGATTAATTTTAAACTTCAATCAAATTAATTTAAGCTAAGTTTAATTTTGGATCATTGATCCAATATAAATTGGGGCCAAATCCAAAATTAATTTATGATCTAATTTCTAAAATTTTTTATAAGAAACATATCTAGATATTTAGTTAGAAAAGTTTAGATAGTTATAATAACATATTTAGATATTATAATAGAAAATCTTGATATTAAAATATTTTATTTAGGACATTTATATGAATAGTTGTTATGAAATGAGTATAAATAGTCATATTTCCTTTCGTTGTAATACGACGCGAAATCAATGGAAATAATTTTTTTTTTAAATATCTCCCTTCCAAGTGTTCTTCTAATTTCATTCCTAGATTTTTCTTAAAATTTTCGAGTTCGTTATAGAACTCGGACCAGTGCTAAACATTGCTAGAGGATTATTAGGTTTCCATTTCGATTCGCAATTTCACAAATTTTCAATCCTCATACATATATTGTTGTTTTTTAAATAAATTTTGATTATTTTTTTTGCATTAGTATGCCATGTTGATAGTGGAGAATGGAGGTTACCAAGGAAGCGAGGCATGGATGACTGTGTGGAAACCATTTGTTGAACAGGATGATGAAATAAGTGCGAGCCAGATGTGGATTTCTAGCATGAATGAAGAGGGGCGCGCAGTTAATGCGATGGAAGCGGGTTGGCAGGTTTCTCGTTCGTAGGCTTTGTTTCATATTTCTGTCATGATTGAAAAAAAACATGTGATGATTGATCTTTCTGTTTGCATTTTGCTTATAGGTAAATCCAGCATTGTACGGCGATGAAAACACGAGACTCTTTATTTATTGGACTGTAAGTTTCATCTAATATTTTTTCGGTCCGTTTCCGTATCCATATATGGCCTAGCGATTAAGCCACATATTCTCATGTACCATGATCAAATTAATGGAAAACTCAACAAAACAGGGTGATGGGTACGACAAAACAGGCTGTTATGACCTCAAATGTGAGGGCTTTGTCCAAACCAGTAGCAAGACCGCTGTTGGTGCGGCCTTCAACCACTATTCAACTCCTCGTGGTCCAGAATATAAATGCATCTTTCTTATAAGGAAGGTATAACAAAAAGATGGAAAAAATCGAATACATTCATGTTTCACATCATATATTGATAAACTAACGGCTTGATACATGGTAGGATCATGGGAGCGAGAATTGGTGGCTCCTAACCAATAATCACCAAGTCGGGTATTGGCCGAACTCACTCTTTCCATTCCTAAAGGAC